TATATAAATTTATATATATATATATATATACAACTGGTTTCTGATATCTTTAATCAATGCGTTGCTCCCTTCCTCCAATATACTTGCAATTTATCTAATATTGAGTACTGTCTCCTTTTTGTTTTAATTATACGATTTGAAACATCCAATAATAAAATGTCTAGACTTGATTTTGGTGAAGATTCAAAAATATGCGAGACGTAGATGATTAATAGTTAAGTTAAACTGATTTCTAATAACTTTAATCTATCCTCTGACAGCTGTAGTCTTTCTGATAACTCGTTTTGATCTGGTTAGTAATTGGCCTGTAACGTATTTATTTTTGTCTCATTTAACTATTAATTTGCTATTTCCAATGTACAAATTTTTGGACTTAAATTTGCTGAATATTCCAAAATATGCAAGGAGTTGATGATTAAAATAATTCAATAATTTCTACAGTTACTATGCTAATGATACTAAGTTATTTAAGTTACTATTTACTGTGTATAGAGTTTATTATTTTAAATGGAACAATGACAACGGTGTTTGTTATTTTTTTTAAAAACGATAACCACAGAAACAAATTAGTAAATTTTTCTTTTGTAAATATATGCCTATTTCAATATAGCTTCAGCACTTGATACACTGTTTAGTAATAATTGGAACTAATTTGTTGGTTTAATCATTCTAACAGCAAAAAAGTTCTGCAAAATATATTTCCCAAACTGTGACTTCTTTAGAGGCATAAAAGGAGGGGGGTTGGTATTGATCAGGAGAAACAGTTAAGGAACTTTGAGAAGGAAAGCTTAGAAATCGTTTGAAGAAGACTTAATGACAGGGTTACCTTCTGCCCGTAGGGGATAGATAATTGGTTTACCTTAACATGTCATTCAGAAAGCTGCTTTTTATCGATTCATTTGAAAACTCAATTCAGGTAGTTGGACGACGGCAGTTAAGAATTTAATATCCGAAATAACTTCCTGTTTTAAATTTGTAATTATAGCATGAATTTTAATTTTTATATCTTATTTGTTTTCTAAACATGCCCTGAATAGAAAGTTTTAATTTTTTTTAGAAATTTAGGGCTTAAAATTTTAACTAAAGCAGAAAAGACGGAAGGGGAAATTTTGGACCCTCTCGTTTTTAATATTTCTGTTATTAAAAAAATAACTTTTTGAAGGTATTGGCTTTTAATATTTTGATCGAATTTAAGAGCTTAATCATTCTTGCGTTAACTTTATAAGAACGTATGTATATCTAGAGCTTCATAACTAGAAAAACCAGAGTGCCTCCTAAAATATTTTGAGAAGCACCCCATAACCAAAGGTATGCTTGAGTATAAGATACTCTTTAGTAGGTATAAGGTGTCCTAGTTTAATTAAAAGAGCAAGAGTATTTCAAAATATCTTTAATTATAATTTATAAAGAAAAAGAAACTCTAATCCAAGAAACTAATGAATTAGTATAATGGCCAAGTAAGCGTTCCATTTAATCAAATATCTTCAATAATCAAATAGAATAAAATACCATAGAAATTTGATCACCGAATCTCTACTATATATCTCTTTAAATTAATTAAGATAATATTATAAGATTTTGGTTGTCTAATTGATCTACACCCAAACAATCTGGGAAAGGACAGAGGGCATCTTTAGACATTATAGATGTACAGTTAGGTTCAGTTGTTAATTTCAGGAATGAGAGTAGAAATGATAGAAAAATCAAACGAAGCTCTAACAATAAAAGGTGTATATTAATCCTTCCCTATCACTCTCATCAAAATCACGGGATAAGCCTTCGTTTCCTATTTCGTGTGCCCGCGATATTTCTAGGCTAGAGCGTCTAAATGCAATGCACCAAAAAGGCTTAAATATATCTCTTTCTTGTGCAAGATTTATTTTTATTTCTGATTTTACACGCTAGATGGCTGCACCAGACTATTTTGAAATATATATATATATATATATTGAAAACTATGCATCGGATCAAAAAGGAGCAAATAGAAACATTCAATATTTTTTTTAAAAACTATTCAAGGGTACCAAACATGATCTTCCGCCCTCCTTGGGGGCGGGATGGCTGGTAACTTTGAAATCTTAAATATGAACCCCTATTTTTTATTGCAGATTCTGATTTTACGGAAGAAAGTATCCGTATTTGACTTACAGTTGATGCATTTTACTTCACAGATAGCACTAGAACCAAGAAAATTAAAATGGGGTATGAACTGTTTAAAATGGTGTCATCTCCAAACACATAGAGTCAAAAAAAAAATCTAAAAATAGGTTTCGAGATTCGTCTTTTTAAACAGCTAGTACCCTATTTTAATTTTCCCGATTACTGCGCTCTGTGTGAAACAAAATGTATCAACCTTGAAATTATATAAGGTTACTTTTTCTGGAGAATCTTAATCTGTAATATAAAATAAAGAGTCATATTTAAGATTTGGAAGTCAGTTGGAGGATCAAATTTGGTATGAACTGGCCTTTTAATAAAAATTTTACTCTTAGCGTTGTTCCCCATGTCTCTAAAACTAAAAATATTTGTTCATCTATTTATGTATTTCGTTAAATTGGATACAGCCAAATTCAATAATTATTTATTATTTTTTACGATTAATAATGCATCGTCTTAAATGGTGTGGTATGAATTATTTTTTAAGCAATTAGAATGCGTAAACTGGAATTATTATTTATAAAATTATATAATAAAAAATAACTGCTACGGGAATAATCATCGTCAACCGATCACAAATTAACTCATTATAAGTCAAATAATTAATAAAATATTTATTTACAATTCATTTACAAAGAGTGAAATATTTTTGGCGCTTTTACAGCATTTTTGATGTCATCAAGTGCGAATCCATTTACTATTCTTCCTGAAAAATAAAGTAATTAAAAATATTTAAATAGAAATATCAACAATTTAAACATTAAGATTACTTGTATTTATTATTAAATACATTCGTATTTTTATCAATAAATATACAAATTGACTGAGATTTCAAATTGTACTACATTAACCAGCTAATTAACTTGGAAATATGTTCATGATGTTTACTTTGTACTTATTTTGTTTTATTAAATTTGTTGTTTTAATGCTGTTGTTTACCCAGTTTAATCATAAGTACATCAAAATCCTTATTCAGAAAACACTAGTTTTCACAGAAATTAGCATATGTATGAAATTAATAAGTCAAATGTATCAGTTTGGAATTGAAAAAGTACCATCAGCGTAGAATATAATAACATATGGCATCAATACAGCAATGCTTTCATATATGCTGTCTACTGTAGGAAGCTCGAGCCATTGCTTTTTTCAAAACAGTTGCAAACGTGGCAAGGGTCTGAGAAGGTGGAGAATTGAGAACAGCTACTCATATTTATAAGGCATAGCAAACATGTTTGATATGATTCAAATCCGGTGATCGAGCTGGTCACATCCTGAAACACTAGTTTTCCCAGAAATTAGCATATGTATGAAATTAATAAGTCAAATGTATCAGTTTGGAATTGAAAAAGTACCATCAGCGTAGAATATAATAACATATGGCATCAATACAGCAATGCTTTCATATATGCTGTCTACTGTAGGAAGCTCGAGCCATTGCTTTTTTCAAAACAGTTGCAAACGTGGCAAGGGTCTGAGAAGGTGGAGAATTGAGAGCAGCTATTCATATTTTTAAGGCATACCAAACATGCTTGACATGATTCAAATCCGGTGATCGAGCTGGTAACATGCACTGAATCATTTGCTGCTGAAGATAAGCATCCACGTTGAGAGCCCTGTGCGGAATGGCGTTATTGTTCTGTTGCACGAAAACATCACCTATTGCACCAGTAGAAGAGCTCCCATAAACATCAAGGATGTCACCTTTATACACGTGAGCATTCACTGTTTCACGTGAAAAGACATGCAGGTCCGGGCGTCCAGCCAAAGGGATACCACACCACATACAGACACTGCCTTCGTGGCATGCATCTCTTTCACGGATGTTTGATGAATGATATCGGGTTCTCTCCAAATTAAACAACACTTACTATCACTAAGGAGGCTAAACCTGAACTCTTCTGTGAAGAGAACAGATATGCTGCTGCGTCCACCTCAAAGGTTCTTTTCTACAGCGTAACGAGAGTGGCACAGAAATTACTGGTCGTCTAGCGAACCAACCACTTTAGCGAAGACATCTACGGACATCTAGACGTTATCACCAATCTTCAGATGGCTGCACTAAGGGAGGATTTGAGCTAGCTCGGAGTGGCAGATCTATTCTTTTGTGAACATAACGATAAATAATCAGCTCTCATCGCAGCATTTGACCGTCCTTGGATGAACATTTTGTATGCCAAACCTATGGTTAGAAATTGTTTGAGAAGTCTATGAATCACTGAAGGACTCACATTATCTCATCTAGCCCCAACTATCTGACTTCGTCCTGCCTCCAAATAGTTATCGGCACAAATGATGCTTGGAGGTCATTGTTACAAATTGGCTACCTCAAATTTATCCACATAAATCTCTCAGAAACGAAACAAAATTCACATGCTTGCGATTAAACATGCAATTTTTTGCTCATTGCAGATGACTTTATTCAATGCAGCTCCACTAATTTATATATTGCTGTTTTACTTAGCAACTCTACAATGCAGCTCCACTAGTTTATGCTGTTTTACTTAGCAACTCTTATTTAACAACATATTCAAATTTCATTGGAATTGCATTATTTTTGAGAGAGTTATTGCTATTTTCGTATATTCCCTTAATTTATGGCAACTCCTTAATTATGGGTATTTTATGCTTCTAATATAATAGCATATATACTTGCACGTAGAAGCATATATACTTTCTAATGAGTCAAATTAAACTATATCATGAGAATTAACTTTTCCTTCTGTGTTGTGGTTAAAATCTTCGCATACACTGCTTTAACTGTTCAAGTTCTGTTAAAATCTTAATATTTAAGAGTCTAGAAGTAAACTACAAAGCTTTACTTACTTCTGCAAAACTGCAGAAGTGAATATTGTTTTTTATTGAAACATTCCGGTTAGGTTTCCTTTAATCTTACATGACAATCTTGATAAAAGATCTTCAGTAGATTATAATTTTTCAGTAGATTATGTTTACGAAATTAAAATAGAAACAAAATTACCTTTGAATGAGGGTCACCTGAACTTTAATATCAGACTGTGTTGTAACCAGGAAAGGTAAAAAGTACTAATAAAGGCCACCAAATAATACATGGAAAAATCTGAAATGCACAACAAGTTGGATAGTAAATAAATGATTATTAATTTATTCTTTTTGGATACATTATTATTTAACGAATATTGATATTGTTTATAAATAGTTTATTAATTTATAAATATTAGCATGATTAAATTATTACCGATTGTCAAATTCAACTTGGATAAAAACCTTTTAACCAATCTTTCATTTTATTTCCTTTTAAGCAAAGCATTTAATAAACCAAGAGAAAAAAACAACTTGTAATTTATATTATTTAAGTAATTGAGTAATCTATTAAGAATTTTAAGTCACTAAAAATGTATAAAAAATACAAATACATGTACTAAAATTAAATGCATGTACACATAATAATTTGTTTACTACTGCATTACGAATGTGGTAAGCAATTTAAATCTGAAATAAAACTATTATTATTATATATTTATGATGTAATATGCTAAAAAAGAAGCACTTAAATTTGTATAAAAACAGCTAATTTAATACAAATAATTTTGGTATTAAAATTATTTAAAAATAAAATATGTATCTTTGGGATAAAGTTAGAATGGCGCTAACTCAGCGCCATTAAAAGCTAGTACTTAAATATTGCATAAAACGAAAGATCTAAACAAATTTATTTCGAACAAAAGAAATACTTTTAATAAAAACGAAATATTCTTGAAAAAATAATTTAAAACAATAATATCTGGGTATCTTTTTTTATAAATATTCTTATCAGGCAGGACTACCAACTCCTTAAAATTATATTATTTTGAAGAGAAATACAGAGAATGTATCAAAGATGTAAATTAAATCTTGTTACCTAGTGAAGAAGAGGCAGAGGAAGAAGAAGAAAAAGAGGAAGCTTGAGTGATGTTGAGCAGGAAGTGTGCATCCGCAATTCCATTGACATTTTTTACTATCAACAATACTTCACCAGAATCCTCAACTTCAACCCTGCGCAGCTCCAGGCCACTCATGTAGCAGTTCGGAATCTCAGTCTCCTGTAAAAAGAAAATATTGTTATGTGTTCTGAAAGCTTAGAATTTTCTCAAATTATTTTATATAAGGAAGAGAATATTCACCAATATTCCCCATTCAAAGAATATTAACCAAACATTATAAAGCCGAGAAATGAAATAGATTTTTTTTAACGATAGGGATAATGGTTATTTTAAGATTGCAAAATAAAGTGTTAAGCATAAAAATTTTATGAAATAATTATTTCAAGATTTTATTTTATTTAAAATTATTTATTTTCTTTAATTATTAAGAAATGAAAGTTACCTTTCTAACTTCGAAGAGATTTTCAGGTAACGTAGCATAAAACAGTAAAAATAAAACGTTATTCGATAGAAAATAACTTATTTTTTCATGCTTTGTTTTAAATCTAAATAATTATCTTTAAAATCAAACAATGTGCCCAGAAATGAACAAGTAGAGAATATCGGAATGCTACAGGTGCTGTAATAATTTTGTGTTTGTATAAATGATATTGGGAGGACATAGTTACAAATTGGCTATTTCAAATTTCATAATTTCTGAAACAACAAAATTCTCAGGCTTGCAATCAATTTATGCTCATTGCAGATGACGTCATTCCATGGCAGCGCCATCGCGGTTTTACTTAGAAACTCTTATTTAACAACATATTCAAATTTCATTGGGGTTGGCTTATTTTTGAGAGAGTTATTGCTATTTTTGTATATTCCCTTAATTTATGACAACCAGTGTATATTATGCTTCTAACGTAAAATATATACGCTTGCAAGTAGAAACATAGATACGTACTTACTAATGAGTCAAATTAAACTATATACTGTCATTGGAATTAAGCTAATTGGTAATTAAGCTAATTAAGCTAAGACCAGCTGACCTACTTACCACCATAAATGGAATTTTTATGTCAGTACAGAAACTTACATAAGTAATATTACCCAAGCAATAATTACTCAAGAAGTAATCACTCCACAAGCAATAATTTCATGTCTCAGTTGAGAAGTTTCAATTAAAATTTAAAAAGTCTTAACTGAAAGCTGTGAAAAGCCGAATTTATACTCTCCCAGTTGTAGGAAACTTAAAATGAATACTTCAATCTGCCAATGATTAAAAAAGAACTACCAGAGATGATAGAAATTGAACTGGAAAACTGGCAAGGTAAGAGAACTTCTGATTATTATAAATTATTCATTGTTGTAGCATGCAAAATGACTCTTATGTATATAAATTAAAAAGAGAAAAATACGTAAAAATTCAAATAACAGTTAAACACAATGCTCATGAGTTTGTTTTACGGAGTGTAGAATTTAACAAATTCTAATTTTAAAATTTTGCTTTTTACAAATATTGCCGTCATTTTGCAATACATTAATTGCTGGAGTTTCTAATATTTTCAATTCAGCTAGATATTTCATAAGCTTATTACAATCATGTCACATATCTTTAATCAAATTGAATATGTCAGAAGACAGTTTTTATTTCAACACTTTTGCATTATAACTTGTTTTTTGCCACTGATTTGAATAGAAATAGTTATTCAGAATAATAGTCCACGGAATGAGGGAATTTCTGAATAGCCTTTCAGTAACTGAACTTATTACAAACGACCTGAAATAAAGGCGCTGTTTGAGCTAAGATCGATGCATTTTCTCATCGGCTTAAAACTACTAGAGGTCATTAAAAAAAGTTGAAAAGGTAATAGACTGAGTAGAAAATAGTGGTGACTTTTCCAATTAAGGTGGAGTATTGCAAAATGTTGTTGACTCTTTGAAAAGATCTGGATTTACCAGTTTCCTACACTGTTAAAATTTTCATTCTAAAATTATGGTAAAATAACTGGCAGCTGTCTGTCCCTCCGAATAACCGTAAAGTTTACGGTAAAGAATATTTTTTTCCTTTATGGTTTTGAAATAATTTACAAAAAGTAGGGTTATAAAGCCATGAATTCAAAACTATACGGTTTTTTAGCCATTTACAACTGGCATTTTCCAAAAACGTAAAAGAAAAATTTTTTTTTTAACTAGACGTAGGAGTTCGGCTTTTCGTAAGGTAATGGGCATTGGAGAGTGCCGGACACTGGAAATTCTTCATGTGTTGAAGGGAATGGAGGGAATAGTGTAGTGTCAACACTAGGACTCAAACTCCAGTTCTGCCGGTCATGAGATTGACAGATAAGCCCGCTCGGCTATGATATGAACGCAGTTGCAAGGAACTAAGTGATTTCATTAGGTGATTTTAGTGGGTGCGATAAAATTCTGATTGTTTAACCGTATTGGGTGAAAGCAGTTAAAAAACAGTTTTCTCAAACTTAACAGTTTGATTACCATTTTATTTATGGTTATTTGACTGCGTTGATTAAATATGGTAAAATAACCATTCAATAAATTGTTATTTAACCCTTTTTTCCGAGAAATTTCTAACAGTGTACTACAGTTACATCCGTGTGTCTCCGGAGAAAATATTATGTAAACAATTCAAAGTTTTAATTTTATTCTACTTTATACATTGTTTAAAAGTTAACGAAAGTTCTAAGTTTCATTAATGAAAAGTTTTTCTTTTTTTTTAGAAAAGAAGGATGTAAAAAAATAATTTCGAGCAAAGAATAAATAAATACTTTTATGGCGACTTTAGATAATTCCGTATTTTTTTTAACAGCAAATAACTAATTTTCATTTAATTTCAAGTCTGTGAGTCATATAAATAATTTGCAATGTATTCTTACTGTGAGATTATAAGCTATGTAAGGATGTTGTATATCACCAGGACGAAGAACAAAACGTCGTACAATCCACAACACCCTCAGGGGCTTTTGAGTAGAGCAAAGCTGTCCTGCCAGCAGAGCAGATCTTCCGGCTATAGCCATCAAAGATTTGTTTACAGCTGTCACTTCCGGTCGACCTGAAATAAAAGAATGCTCTCGACTTTACCTTTTGCTCCACTTCCTCTGAACAAAAAATAATAGAAAATGAAGAAATGTTGATAAAAGTTTGAAAACAAAACATAAACAATGCTTAAAATCTCTATATAAAAAAGATCCCATGAGATTAATGTATTTTTCTCTGACCAAGTAACACTAGAACAAAATTTTGCCAAACGTGCGTAGCAAAAAAGTGCAATAAAGAAAATAGTAGAGTTGCAAAATTTATTTTAATAATATTCAATTTAGTAATGTAACAGAGAAATGTTAAATAATATTAAAGATTATATAAGATTTTTGATAAGATTAAACTTAAATTTAAGAAATTAAAAATTTTCGTAATCGCAGATTAAAAAAAAGTTTTAACCTATATCAAGAATTATAAACACAACGGATGGCCGTCTAACGAAAAAAATTTATATATTAAACGACTCTAACTGAATTTCCAATTCTTACTCATTTGATAAATGCTTAGATGGTTTTCGCACTTAAAACTACTTTATTGTCTAAAAAACAAGCTCTATACTAAAGACTTTAGGTCGTTATTTTATACCTCAAAGATCAAAGATACTGTAATTCCCCTTTATTTGTATATGAAACATTATTCTTGTATAATGCATTACAGAATTATTTGAAATTATTATAATTATAATATTTGTTTTAATAATATACAATTTAGAACTGTAATTTAGTAAACATTAATTTAAAAAATATAATTTATTAAGATAAAACTTAAATTTAGTAAATCAAAATTCCACAGATAAAAAATATTTACGTTAAGATTCTTTTTAACTTTTTCAATTATTGTGTATGTTCTATGCAATTGAAATCAAGTTATTTTTTTTCTTAACTTTTCTGAAAATAGTCAATAAAATATCACAACTACTACATTCTGGAATGTTTGGTGGATACTTAATCGAAATTTATAAAACAGATAATTACCATCTGAAATGCATTTTAGATTTACAGATTGACCCAGACCAGCTGGGATGTTTGATCCTGATGCTGTTGAGACCGGAAGGTCCAAGGCTGTAAAATATAACAGAAAAGAAATATACCTTAATAATTGATAAATAAAAACATATTAATATTTGTTTGGAATACAAAAGTATTAAAATTCATCATTTAAATGTGACTTGAAAAATCTTAGAAAGTACTTAAATATACGCTAGGAACATTAAAGTACATTCTTAGCTAAGTATGATAGGAGCTGATTCTAAACAGTATAATGAGTGACACGTAAACAACTTAAAAATAACTTTTAATTATTCAGAAGAATTTTAAAAAAATGATAAATATTAGATTCTACAGTACAAAATAGAAGAGATTTTTCAAACTAAAAAATACCAAATATAAAATGTTAACTCTCTTCTTAATGCTTCTTTTAATATTTTTTTTAAAAAAAAAACTCATGGTTGAATTCTATTTAATTTATTAATTTATCATTGATTAATAAACAGTATTGTAAATTTTTTCGTTGGCACTGTTATAAAATTTAATGGATTTAGTAGAATTAAAGAATAAAAATTGAAGACAATAAAAATTTAATTTCTCTTGCTTATTAAAGGAAGGCTTATATGCTATTTTAAAACTAGTTTCTAAAGCAAAGTTTAAAATTTAATTGTTTAAAAATAATAAACGAGCTATTTTAGATTTAAGTTTGTTAAAAACTCTATAAGCCCAATTAAAAAATAAAAAAAATAATAAAAAATAGCTTTTGAACCAATAAATAAGAATAGCAATAAACCACAATAAGAATACCATATCATAACAAGAATAGTTTATGTACCAATAATAGGAATAATTTATGAACGAATAATAAGAATAGTAATTTACCATAATAAGAATACTGTACCGTAATATGAATAACCATAAAAAAATAATAATAGAGCATAAAAAGAATAACTATAACGAACCATAATAAGAATAGTTAGTGAACCAATTGTAGTCGATCTTTCGTTTAGTTTGCAATTTTATTTAGAATGAAAAAAGGAGCAACAGACACACATTGCGCAAGAATAAGCATTTAACAAAAAGATATTACTTACTGCGGACGTTCAGGAAATAGCCAAAAGATGCAAATGTTCCAAATTCATGATTCGTGGTGCATCTGTACCATCCGGCATGTTCATGTCCGATAGAAGTGAAGTTAAGATACCCTAGCTTGTCTTGTTGGACTGAAAGTGGACCATCATCTTTGACCCAGACTGGCTCACTTGGTGGGTTGGCATCCACTTCGCAACGCAAAGACACTTTCATTCGTTCCATAAGTGGAAACCCGAAACCCGGTTCTCGAGATATAGAAAATGAAGGGTCATCTGTACGTAATTATTAATTATTATTAATATCATCATCATATTATTATCATCATAATTTTAGCACCCATTACAAAGAGCAGTAAGAATTTGCATCTGTTTATTATTTCATGTACTATCATGAATGAATGAAGCATAGAAAGTAAACTCAAAAACAGACGCGATCGCCTATACTATGTTTAACACAGGTCACCTTACATATAGGTAAGCTATACGAAGGGCCATGCAAATTTTGTCTGATGAAACTGTCTGTGACTATGTCTACGTGTTCAAATTTTAATAGTTTTTCATGGAAATTAAGACACACTTACTTATTCCTTTGGATCCATATGGTTTTATAATGTTATATTTTTAGAATATTTTGCGAAAATCCTCGTAACACACTACATGTGGGTCGCATAAGAATATTTTTTTTTGATATTTCTAAGATCATACAAAAATTCAGAAAATGGCTGCAAAACTGAATCGTATCCACTCGCATTTCAAGCACTTATGAATATTCTAAAATTGGATGTTGCACTTTCTCAACATTACTAAACACATTAAAAAAATATTGGGATAAAAATGAACAAATTAACTGAAAGGGTATCTGATTTCGAGTAATTTTATACTTGCTAAATAAAAAAAAAAATCATTTTTTGATTTTTGTTGATAAAGCGTTCACCTCCCAATAAGGGGACAAAGGTTCGAATCCCAGCTGTTTCTGGTTAATACCAATTTTGCTTCCAGCTCGCGCCGACCACAGTACTGACGTGAAATATCCTCAGTGGTAGACGGATAATGGGTTAGAATCCCCCTGCCGTTGGACTAAACATGGGAATTTTTCGTGATTTTCCTTGCAACACAATTGTGTGTTAAATCCATCGAAAATGTCCTCTAAGAAAGCTAGCTTGTAACAATTCTTGAGGGGTTTCCTTGTTTTTTGGGCTGGATTCAAAATTTCAGGGCTACGTAGTTGAAAATTGATAGTTGTAAGCCCAAAATATGTTTTGTTGATTTGTTTTCTGATCTATGTTACTTCTGATGATCACAGTATTAAAAAATCACTTACAGTTAATGGTTTAAATTATGTATATCATTGTAATAACCGTGAGAGGTTTTCAAGGTCCAATACTTCCCTTAGTTAATAATTAAATAAAAAATGACTTAATCATATGACTAATTATGATAGACTATTGTGGTTCAGTTCCTAATTTGGGTACTTAACTACTAAAAATTGAAAATCGATGAGTACTACATTGTAAATGGACTAAACCATGAAGATTTTTCAAAGTTCATCACTTAACTTAGTTTGAATTAAAAAAATTTAAATTATCGTAAAAAAGTATTCCACAGTCCAAAGTCATTGAAGTATCTTCTATATAAATTAAAACCATGTATCAGAGTTAACTTAATTAAAAGTTTGAGTACTTAACCTCATTTTTCAAAATGTGCTACTTTAGTGTAGCTTTGCTTTTAATATACTTCAACGCAGTAATTTTTGGAAAAAATAATAATATTAGCGGTAATCATCAATATTAGGTGCTTGATTGAAATTAAATAAAAAATATGACTGTTAAGATATGTAAAAGATTAGAATTTGTACTTAATATGCCATATATTTAAAAGTAAAATTCAGTTGTAAAAAATCAAATAATGTTTTTAAAAAAATATACAATATTTTTAAAAACAAGAATTTGATTAAAATTTAAATCAGGTTTCTAAAAATGAATATTCCTTTTAAGAAATACTTATACTTTTAAAAGTAAGAAATTCCTATGAAAAATAATGCGAAATAACAATTATGAAGAAAAATTTGCGAAAAGGATTATAAACAAACCGCTATAAAATGGGGAAGAGTGTATATGCTCTTACTCTCGCTGTGATTTTGCTTTATGAGTTTCATTGGCGATAAGCCCTTGACATGAAGGCAGTGATAAATCATCTCAATCTAATTTACCGGCAAGGCAGTAGGGAGCATCAGAGGTTTCGAGATGAGGGAAGCTTGAGAAAAGCCTTTTCCAGGGATGAAGGGCCAAGAATATTTTATGGTAAAGTTGGATTTTATAATAAAATATTCCGGTACTACATAAGTTAATTCGTTCCAGAATTTTGCAACAGTGCAATTAACATAATATTTATAGTACATAGTTCAATGAACGAGTTTTAACTTACATAAAACATTAAGTGAAGCGCTGACCGCAGCTGCCTGCAGCCACGATACGTGATGCACTCGGCATATGAGTTCTTTGTTGTGCACTCTTCTTGTGACGTTTAGAGCAAGAACGCTTCGACTTGTGTAAGCATCGTCTTCCGCTGAAAACTCTACAAACAATTCACTTGACGACGTCAGATTGGCTTCACCTAATAAAAATAAAAAGTTTTAACATATTGTATTTCTTTAATTACTTAATTTAATTATACATTTTGTGATTGTGTATTTTAAATCATATTGGCTACATTTGATGTGTTGATTTTCCCAACCGTGAGTTCGCTACTATGAGTCCGAAATAGTTAGTCATAACTGTTAGATCAATTTCGGCTTATGTTTAACCACTGTCAATTCGATATGAAAAAACAAACAAACAAACGTCGATATGAAAAAAGTCATAGTTCTGAGAAAAAGGAAAAGCGTTGATAGTCTGTTTTCTTACTTTAAAATCTACTTTAACAATGCATTGCCTGAGCTCATTAAAAGTTGGAAAAAAACTGAATTTTTCATTAATTGTGATAATTTTCATATAGGGGAAAAATATGACCTAACTGGTGATTTTATAAAAGGCTCAATAACTTCAAAGCTATTACTGAAAATTATATGCATAGTTTAAATTATAGTTTTGCCTTCATTGTTAGATATTGAAACCATAGCTTTTTTTATTTTCCTTGGCATAAAAAACACAGTTAAATCTAATTTAAATTGAGTAAAATGGAAAATACGCAATTTTCATTGTTGCAATAGAAGAAATTTGTGGAAATTCTGCAATGAGATGCAAGCTTTATTTATTCATGATAAATTTCATATCAAGGAAGCAAGTCTGCTTTAAGATAAACTGCATAGCTCTTTTTCATTCAGCAAGTTTTCAAGAAGTTTTAGAGAATAACAACAATAAACACTGCAGGTATAAAGCTAAAAATTAAAAAAAATTGCAAAGATTTTAATTTTAAACACCAAATTAAAAATTGGTTTCACCAAATTAATGCCTCATATATAAATTATCTGATTATGCAAATAAATTATATTATGAAGTAAAATCCCTGGAAATTAGATATTTTAAACTCACTAAAAATACACAATGCTTGCAATGTCTAAAAACCAGTTGAGCGAAATGAAGACCCAGAAAAGGAATCCCAACCACTGTTCCGTTTTTAGGAGCGAGCTTATCGCCATTGATGATGGACTTGCCTCAATACTGTCTCTTTCAATTCCGAAAGAGATTTGGATCCTTACCGACAGTAGAAGCGCTGTTCAGCACTTGGCTAGCTGGCACACAGGGAGGGACAATACTAGCACGAACATCCTTTATAAACTTTTACACCTCTCCAAATATTGTCGAATTCACGTACAATGGATACCCTCACACGTAGATATATCAAGCAATTAAATGGCAGATAGTCTTGCCAAGGCAGGTGCAGCTGAGGCCACTGCGCCTCCAATGTTTTTTACCTCCTCAGAGCTCTTTTCCATTGCTGAAGCCAAAAATAAATCAGCATGGCTCACTCCACCCAGTCACAATTGCTATCAGGGTACCAGACCGGGTAGCTGTATGACAACTGACAAAGACCGTCAGTCTCAAACCGCCATAACACGTCTCCGCTGTGGACACCTGAAATCACTGAGGTACTCTGGAGGAGAAAAGTGCTTTGCCCTCTGTACCAAGTGCTCTTCGGCCCAGGCATCCCCTGAACATCTACTGGACTGCCTCGGTCTTTTAAAACAAGACCTTATTGAAAGACCCTTACTTGTTTTAGACTTTTTGAAGGTGAACAATCTCATGGACCTTGTCTAGCTAGGCTAGAAATGGGGATTTGAAAGAAGAAGAAGAAGATGATGTCTAAAAATAGATATGTAAGTTTAGTTGCCGTCTATTTTGAAATTGTATGACCACTTGAGTTGCAAGAATGAAATATAAAGATCAGAAACAGTATTGTCAGATTTAACGGATGAATAATCAAGTACATGATTATAATTTTATTTGGGCATCGAATAAAATTAATTGTTCCTCCCCCTTTATATATCAAATGTTTAAGACAGCTTTTATGTAAAATCATTTTTCCTATTTCACATGTTACAATTTGATAATTAATTAAAATGTTTTAAAATGTTTGATAATTAAATAAAATGTTACACATTTTATAATTTTTCTTCCTGTTTTGTTAAAAAAAAACAAATGCTTCAAGGCTACAAAGTTTGACCCATGTCCTCTTGCATCAAAATCAACGCTCGCTTTTTCAAATAAAATAAACTACACGAAAAGTAATCTAGCTAAATTAAACGTAATTAATACCAGCTATGAATAACTTAGTAAAAGAAATTAATATTAGTTAATTAATAAGTAAAAACAATTTTAAAGTTATCAATGCTACTAATAAATTACCATTATCATTGGTAACTCAACATACAGTTATTAATTAGATAGATTGATGAAAATGTTTGATAGATAGATAAGTGACTTGCCGCACCTATGGACCACTGGATGTGTCGAACTGGTGGAATTGCACCTGAAACAACGCAATGTATTGAAAGCTTCTGCGGTTCTCTGACTGTGACTGTCGCTTGATGAACTAATCTCCGTCCCTCTAACTCCAGGTAAGGATCTGATGGAGAATCTGAAGAAAAAGGACCTACACTTATTTTAGTAGAGTATGGTTTTAAAATGAAGAGCTACACTCGTCAAGCTACCTAGTAATTTACTACATTGTAAATTATTTCATAAACAAAGGAACAATGAGTGCAATTGAAACAGAACTAAACATTTTGTCAAAGAATTGAAGTTTTCTATTAATTTTCTCAATCTGATTTCTTGTTGGAACACGAATGTGATGAATTACTACATAGATTTGCCTTGATGAATGAATATGGTACGAATGAAAGAACTTTAAAATAACCGAAGACATCATTGATAATAAAATAATTGAGGCAATTTGCTATCAAACTATGTCCATTTCTAGAATATAAACACTTCTTTAAAACTCGAACGTTAAGAAATTTTCATAAGATGTCTGAAGTTAAAAAAAATCGTGTTTTGCTATTTCAAAAGACATTTTTCAAAATTATTTAATTTCTTCTGCTGTAATTTTTACACGTCTTTTATAGAATTTCTTTGACTTAGTTTATTAGTCATGTATGTTTAAGAGAAGAGCGGCAAAGATATCTGGAGACGGAGCTTCAAACACATTTACATTTTTATTTATTTTTCATTTTTTTAAATCCCTAAAGCAATCGGTCTAAGCCTAAGTATCTTCAACCATTCTTAGACATGGCTAAAAAGAATAGTAAAGCCAGATTTGCTATGCAAGAAGCTATTTTGAAATTAATTTGTTATTCATCAAATATTTATGTTTGCTGTAATTCAGCAACAGTCACTGATTTGAAAATTAAGAAAAATATTATGTAAACTAATGACAAAGCAGGAGGATTATCTATTATATATAACTTCGTGGTAATAAAGTTGGGTGTAAGGATTTATAGGCTAATGTATACATACACAATTACTGCATTCGTCAGAGCGTCGATCTTATGAACACTTAAAAAGTTTGAGGACAAACCATGATTTTTAATTTACTATCATATCATTAATGCAGAACTAGAGTATAAAATTTTTCATAGAGGTCAATAAAAATCACAAATTTAATTAGAAAATGTTTAAATAGCTAAGAGTGTTTTGAAAATGTTGAATATTCGCTTAATTAATCTTCCTAGACTACTTTTATGAAATTTCTAAAACTTCTTAACTGGCTCATAATTTATTTTAATATTTACAGATTTACTAGATATCAAATTATGTATTAACATCTGACATGATAGTTACAAGTAAAAATTATTAACGATATCGAGGTTGACATAAATAGCATTAAGGAAAGAGTTTAGATTGATCAAGATAATTTCATGTAAACAATAACTTTCTCTATTGAGCACATTAATTGAACACATCAATTACATTAATTTTAAAATACCGCATGCAGTTAATTTGAACAGTATAAAATCTTTTTAATTAAACTAATCAAAAATTAAAAATACTTTCTTTAAGTCTAATTCAAACTGTTACTTAAACTATTCTTTCGTCCTAAATGTAATTTCAAAAATACCTATTACTTACTCCCGACTACGAGATCTAAAACTTTGGCTACTTTACGAACTGATCCATCAGCTCCTAACTCCCTACAATCCCAACGACCTGCATCAGATCTGCGAGCATCAGCTATGGTTAGCGCAGCAGTGCCATCAGGTGAGATATTCCAGTGACGTCTCTTGGAGGAAACTAGATCAAGAACTATAGGAGCTCCATTTTGGAGCCATTGAACACTACCTCCTGGTGTAGACAATGGACAAGGGATACTGATACTTTCACCAACCTGTATCGTCTTTTCCAACGAGGAATCTTCCATGCAGAAAACCATCTGAAGAATGCAACCTAAATATAAAAAAATATAGGTTAAATTGTTTCGACTTTTCAAACTATTTTAAATTTTTAAATTATTCTGAATTTTTAAATTATTTTGAATTTTTAAATTATTTTGAATTTTTAAATTATTTTGAATTTTTAAATTGGTTTACGATTTTTATATGAAAATTGCGATAAAAACATATTAAAAATATAGTACTCTAACAGAAGCATATTCGAGTAAATTAAAACGCTAATTCAGGCTGTATATGATTCACCGTACTGAAACTTATGATGTATTTTCAGAATCTTTCTTAATAATAGAAGCAAATTAAAAAGTATTTGAGAGGAGCAAATTTATCTTAACTGATAACATTTTTCAAATCATTCGAGATGTTTTTTTTAAAAAAATGGAGTTAAATATTCCCAAATCAGTTTAATTGTTAGATGAAATTGGAAAATAATTCTTGATAATCACGTTTCTCCCTATTTCACCTTTTCCAGCCATCAAACAAATCTCGATTTCAGATTAAGTCTCCCCTCTAGCATTAAAAGTTTCTAAAGGTATGATAGTATATTTGCTGTTCATTCTCTTAAATACATATTTGCAAACCCTAATGGGAAAACAATGTTTCGAAAAATACATATTGTGGGTACTAATTAAACACTCTGCATTTTCAATGAAACTACAAAGGGATGACGTTATTCAAATCAATATAAATTAGAAAACAGGAATTTTGTCAGGATAATAACTTTAAATAAATAAATCAGTCTACACACATATATCTAAAGTAATCTAGGAAAAGGGTTGAATATCTTTCTTGCTGGGGGATGACAATAATATATAAAGAGACACTATTTATATAAAGTAATTATAATATTGTTTATTACATGCTTATTACATTTAATAGAAATCATTTTTATTTGTCCAACTTTAAATATAACTAAAATCTGCATAAAAATCCATTGAGGGATCAGTTTTGCAATAGAAAACAATTAAAAATGGAACAAAAACCCACGCAGTATAATATTTTTTTCTTAAAGAACTTTGATTTTAAACCATTCAAATTTAACTAATACCATGCTGATTCTAACTCTCAATTTCCAAGTCCTGATAGACGTATTTAAAGCATTAGCACGGTTTTTTAAAGAAAAAAGAAGAATAAAGTTAAGGAAAACAAACAGGATTACACTAAAAAAAAATCTGGATCAAATTACGGTAAAAAGTACTGGCATCCTGGGTGAAGGATCCGTAAAACTATTTTTACTGTGAAATTTATTTTTTCTGTAAGAAATTATACCGTATAGTTTCAAGTAATAATTATTTAGCAACAGTAATTCAGAAATTTTACAATAAATATAACTGTAAAAAAATTACGGTATATTACATTTTTTGTTCCATAAAATTTTACAGAAAAAACTGAATTTTAGGTATTAAGGTAAAATACACGGTATTTGCATATTATGTAGCTGATCTTGCATAGTTTTAAACTTCTTTGCAGTAAATTTTTACGGAACGAAAGGGCTAATGTACCGTAATTTTTTCAGTAATATTTATCCCGAATCACTGTAATTAAATATTAATGCGAAAACTACGTTATAAAATTTTGCGGTAAAAATAGATTTTACGATAAAATGGATTTTATGGATGTTGCACTCAGGATGACAGTGCATTTTGCCGTAATTTGATCCGGAATTTTTTACAGTGCACGCACAGTTTTACTCGATAAATTAAGTGTATTTTTTATGTAAAATCAAAATATCGATTTTTATATAACTAATAGTATTACTAATTTAATAACTAAGACGTATAAGCTTTCTGCGTCACAGTAATGTTTTAATACCAAACAATTTTAATAATTGTTAGTTTAGTCTACGAGCATTTTCGAAATACAAAACAAGATAAGCGAGGGAAGTAAGCACAAGTCGCGATTATAGAACTAGTTCTCTTTGTATTTGCTTACTTAATAATCGCATATATTGAATTCAGTTAAACTAACTAATTGGAATTTTTCTTGTTTATATTTTCTGAATACTATTTTGTGCCCCGAATCAAGCAGTTTATATTCATTTTTTTTTAGAGAAAGCATATAAATAATTCTTTTCAATTCTTTTTCATGGTGCCAATTTTTTTTAAAATTATTTTTAGAGTTAAATAATATGCATCCATCTATCACAACAACTTTTAAATGCATTTACGTGATTCTTTAAAGTAATTCGTCGAACCATTCAGATTCTTTTCCCTTTTCCGAAAACTAATTCTCATTCTGTCAAGCTAGGAAAAAAGAAGGAAGAAAAAATGCGATAAAAGACACCGTCTTAAAGACGATATATGAAACAAAAAATACTTGAAAGTTTCAACATGTATTTGAAACAAAATCGAGTATTTGCAGCCATTAATCATTTTACCAGCTTTGAGATGCAGAAAAAAAAAGAAAGTGATAAATTCTCATAAAGTGATAATAAGGTTTTTTTTGTCTTTCTTCTTCTCTTTTTCTCCTCTTTTTTCCGTTTGTTCTCTTCTTTTTTTCGTAAGGATATTGCAAAAACGATTCGCGACACTAATGAATTCAGGAATAAGAAATTTTTTAACTACTTAATGTGTGTTTATAATGGATGGGAGGAATAAAAATACACACAAATAATCTGACTCATATATAAAAAGATTAATGAAACAAATTATATTTATTACAATTTATAATATTTCTTTTAAAAAAAAGATTAATGGTACAACTAAGTTCAATATTAAATAAAATAATTAGTTTTCTAATATTTAATAAATAAACATAATTAATCAGAGACACAATCTTAATTTTCCTTAAAATATCATAAAAAGACTTATAATTATCATAAATGTAAGCAATACAGTTTTTCCAAAAATGATTCGTGTCACAATAAAATCAATGATAAAATCAGAAAAAAATTTATGATTTACTTAATGTTGACTAAAAAAATGATAGAATACAAACCATCTGACATTTATTTAAATTGTTGAAATAAATAAATTATATATAAAAAATAAAAAGAGAATATAATGCAGTACACGGAAATATTGTTTTATTAAGTATTGCATTTTTTCATGAATAAAATTATTAATATTATTTTTTTAACGAACAATCGAATTAGAATGAAAATTCTCCGTAACAGTTACTTGTAAAAATATTTCTGTTCGTAAATTGATATTTAAATTCATAAAACACTAAATCTAGTATAGCATTAACGACAATTTTTATACGAATAAAAACTCCAAAATCATATAGAAAAAAATTATAATATTAAATTATATTAAGTTCTATGTGAAATAAATCCTATCGAATCAATTATTCAGACATTATTTTAAAATTTAAATGCAGTGATCCAAAGCATAAATTGAATTAAAATCATATCAGAACTAAATCAATTCCCAAAAAAACTCAGAAACAACACTAAACAAGATATTTTACCAATTTCTTTTATGTACGATTTGCTCTGGAATAAAAACAATTTTCCATTACTGCCATGAATACTTTAAATTATGGATGCATTCGTTTTAGATTAGTTCTTAATCTAATTTAAATCTTCAAAAAATTAAAATTGAAAAATATTCCAGGAAATTTGAATATTTTTTCTTGGAAATGTTAACAAAATGGTATTTTGATTGAAATTAAATATAAAAAGTTATGATAGAATATATTCGTAATTGTTTCATGATCATAGCTTATACGTAAATATTTTTATATATTATGACTATAACCTGCAAATAAATGTTACGATATTTATTACTTCTAACGACTGTTGTTGTCTTGGTCATACACTGTAAAAAAAATTTCCGATCTCATTCAGGTATAAAGAACCGGCATCATCCATAAAATCCTTTTAACCGTTAAATCCATTTTTATCGTAAAATATACCATAATTTTTACAGTATCATTTATTTAATTAGAGTAATTTAGTGATTTTCCAATAATTATTGCAGTGAAAATTACGTTATATCAGATTTTTTGTTATGTAATATGTTCCAGTAAAAATGCTTTCGGTAAAAGATAATGCCACCTTAAATTCTGGTGATTATTGCCGCATTACCGTGAAAGTATGAAATTCAAAATGCAAAAGTTATTTTAATTGTGTGTTATATATTTTTTTAATGATATATTTTTTCACGTTGAATTAATTTAGTTGCAGAAGGATATTTTTTTCTGAATTTATAAGAAAAAAATGTTTTTATCAGAGTAATTGTAATATAATCTCCCGCAAAAATAATTTAAACTTTGTGAACAAACTAAAGATACTCGAGAGAAACTAAAATTCTTGAGCACTGACCATTTTCAACCTCTTCTGCAGAGTGGAAAAATCCAATTTCAAGAGTTGAGTGAAAATCCCATCTTACCTTAACGGTAGTCAAAGTATAGCAGTTTTTTCGAGATAAAAAAAGAGATAAAAAGAGTTTTTCCCTACTCTAGTAGTGTGCGTGATTGCATGTGTGAAGAAGTTGTTATTACATGCCTTCTATTTTTGTCTACAGAAAGTGGAATCAGAAGAACAAGTCGAAAAAATAACTTGTGCACACACTAAAAAGTATTTATTTTTTATACGTATGAACAGTTCAAAAGTGCGGAGGATAAATAAAATATAAATAATATTAAAATAAATAGCAATTAAAATGAAAAAAATTATCCAATTCAGTATTTTGTAATTATTTCTTCCAAATTAACATTGAAAAAAAAAAGAATCTGATGATACTAAGTACCTTACATTGAGAGCGGATCCGGATTAAATTAACGGTATAAAGTACCGGCACTTTGGGTGCATTATCCGTAAAATTCATTTTGACCGTAAAATGCATATTTACTGTAAAATCCTTTTAACCGTAAATTATTGTGACCTAAATTTTACAGTGATATTTATTTAGTTAGAGTGATTCAGTGATTTTATGGTGATTATTACTTTAAAAATTACGGTGTTAGAGATTTTTTTGTTCCGCAGCGAATGCAAAAAGTATCCAAAAAATTTAAACCTCTATCAACTTTTTTCTTATTTTAGTTATTTTTTAA